TGTCCCCAGTGGTGTTTGGTGAGCACCCTGGGGACAGCAGGGGTGGCCCTGGGGACCCGGGGGTGGCCCTGTCCCCACTGTCCCCCTGTCCCCAGTGGTGTTTGGCGAGCACCCTGGGGACCTGGGGGTGGCCCTGTCCCCACTGTCCCCGTGTCCCCAGTGGTGTTTGGCGAGCACCCTGGGGACCCGGGGGTGGCCCGGGGGTGGCCCTGTCCCCACTGTCCCCACTGTCCCCGTGTCCCCAGTGGTGTTTGGCGAGCACCCTGGGGACCCGGGGGTGACCCTGGGGTGGCCCTGTCCCCACTGTCCCCGTGTCCCCAGTGGTGTTTGGCGAGCACTCCCTCCTCGTCACCGTCTCGGGACAGAAACTCTTCGTGGTCAAGCGCCAGCACCACGTCCAGGAGCCGGTGGCCGTGTGAAAGATGTCCCCAAAGTGTCCCCACAGTGTCCCCAGAGGCGGCGGCACCGCCCCCGGCCGCCTTCTGCTGTCCCCAAAGTGTCCCCAGATCCCCCCCGTGGGGACAATAAACGACGTCCGAGGGTGGCTGCGGCGCTTTGTGACCTCCTTGGGGACATCGGGTGGCACCAGGAGACATCCAGGCCACCCTTGGGACATCCAGGTGGCACCAGATGACATCCAAACCCTCCTGGGGACATCTAGGTGGCACCAGGTGACATCCAGGCCACTCTTGGGGACATCCAGGTGGCACCAGGTGACATCCAGGTGGCACCAGGTGACATCCAGGCCACCCCTGGGGACATCCAGGTGACACCAGCAGGTGACATCCAGTTCTCTTTATTGGCAATAAATAACAGGGACAGAGGTGCCACCCTTGTCCCCAATGTCCCCAACCCGGGGGTGGCACTGCAGGCCCCCCAACCCCCCCCAGTCCCACTTTGGCTCGGGGACACTTCCCCGATGTCCCCAAATGTCCCCAAAATCCCGACCCCGAACGTGGGCACGGCTCCAGGCCGTGTCCCCAAGGTGTCCCCAAGGCTCTGGGGTGGCCCTGTCCCCTTGGTCCCTGTCCCTGGGGACACTGGGGGTGGCCCTGTCCCCCTGGTCCCTGTCCCCAAGGCCCTGGAGGTGGCACTGGGGGTGGCCCTGTCCCCTTGGTCCCTGTCCCTGGGGACAATGGGGGTGTCCCTGTCCCCCTGGTCCCTGTCCCCAGTGTCCCCAAGGCCCTGGAGGTGGCACTGGGGGTGGCCCTGTCCCCTTGGTCCCTGTCCCCAGTGTCCCCAAGGCCCTGGAGGTGGCACTGGGGGTGGCCCTGTTCCCCTGGTCCCTGTCCCCAAGGCCCTGGAGGTGGCCCTGAGGCTCTGGGGACACTGAGGGTGGCCCTGTCCCCATTGTCCCCGCTGTCCCCAAGCCGTCCCTACCACTCTGCGATGTCCCCATTGTGCCACCACCATCCCCAGTGTCACCCCAGTGGTGTCCCCATTGTCCCCAAGCTGTCCCCAGTGTCGTCTGTGCCACCCCAGCAGTGTCCCCATTGTCCCCAAGCTGTCCCCAGTGTC